CGCAGCCACCAGCCGCCAGCGAGGCCCAGCCAGCCAGCACCCGAGCCGTTAGTCCAGCCATCCGCCCGGCCCAGCCAGCAGCCAGCCACTCGCCCAGCCAGCAGCCAGCAGCCAGCAGCCAGCAGCCGTCAGCCAGCCGCCTGAGCCAGCCGCCAGCCAACAGCCAGCCGCTCATCCAGCGCAGTCGCCCGGCCCAAAAGCCACCCAAGCTACACGGCCAGCTAGCCGCCAGCCGCCAGCAGCCACCTTGCTGCTGCTTCCGCCCCGCCGCTGCTTCCGCTCCTCCACTGCTTCCGCCAGCTACCCGCTGTCAATCATCGGAAACGTCGGAGAGGCCTCTCCGGCGTCTCCGATGATTCTGGCCATTGACGGCCTTGCTTCCGCTCCGCCTGTGCACAGCTCACCTTCGCTTGCCGTTGCCTGCTGGTCTGCTGCCGCTCTGGTGAGTTGACTGTTGCTGCTCTTGTTCTTCTGCCGCTCTGCTGGGCGTGTTGCTGACTCCTTTGCTCCTCTCTTCCTTTTGCTTGCTCCCTCACTGCCTTACTTTGCTGCTGGCAATGCTCTGCCGCTGTCGCCCGCTGCCACCCTGCTGCCACCTTGCTCTACCGCCGTTGCTGCTGCCCATTTAGGTACCGTATCAGTATTGCAATTGAATGGTAGATAGGATACGGCTGTGGGTGCGTGCTATGCCTGCAGTGTGGGAGCAACGCTGTCCTACAGCCCTGGTAACGTAGGGTTCCTCCGGCCCTGGGAGCATAGGAGTCCTACAGCTCAAAGGCCGAAGTGGTAGACCGTCTAGCTACGGCCCTGGGGTAGCGAAGGAGATCTCCAACTCCCGAGGCCGTAGCTAAATCCCTGCCGCTAGCCATGATTGTCGCGGCGGCATGCTTCTGCCGTTGCTCTGTTGCAGCATGCTGACCATCTGCTCCTTTGCGTTTTCTCAGCTCAGACAACTGTTTGCCCCATGCCTGGCATCAACGCATTGCTGCCACCAACCGATGCTGACCCTGGCCTGCCCTCAATCATAGCTAGCAGCAGAGCCCAGCTGCGATTTACCAGATCGCAGGCTTTGCCCAATCTGACAAGCGTTATACATGTGCAATTTATGGATCGGCAGGACCCTTGCCGATCTGCAGATCAGCCCAGCCGGTGCACCCCAACCAATCCTGCCTGCAATTTGCAGATCGCACTTGGCCCGATCCCGCCTGCAATTTGCGGATTGCACTGGCACTGACCCCACCTGCGATTTGCAAATCGCACCGGGTGGTGCAATTTTGGGATTGCAGGCAGGGTCAACTCTGCCTGCGATCTGGTAGATCGCACCAAGTTGACCCATCTGCTAGATCGCATGTGTATGTCAGATTGTCAGGTCGAACAGCACCTGCAATTTGCCAGGGCACACAAATACTGCGATCTGGTGCATTGCACTCCACCTTCGATCTGGCAGGGTGTACGACACTCGCGATCTGATGGGGCGCACGATACTTGCAATCTGGTCGGGCACACGATCAATTGCAAAATCGCACTACTACTGGTTTGTGTCGAGTTGCTCCGGTGCCAGAGCAGTGCACGCGTGGCGGCAGGGGGGAAGTCCAGGCGAGGGTGGCGGTGGTGGCGTCGGCAGCGAGGGTGGCGGCAACAATTGCAGCAAAGAAGCCCAGGGCGATGGGGCGAGGTGGCAAGGGCAAGGTGGCACAGAGTCCAAGGCAAAGGGGCGAGGTGGCGAGGAGCAAGCAGGAACAGAAGCAGAGGTGGACAAAGAGCGTGGTCAGTGGCAAGCCCCAGCATCACGGGCTCGAGTCATACTGATTGCAACTCACCTACAGGGCCGGGTGGCAAATGACTGGCAACCTGGCATCAGCGCCACTCATAGCTAGCAGCAGGATCTGGTCAGGAAAAATCGCACGTGTATAACAATTTGAAAATCCAGCTGCAGCCAGCTTGTGCGATTTCTCAGATCGCAGCAGGCATGCGATTAGCTGTGATCTGAGATCCTGAATTTTTTCCTGCCTGCAATCTGAAATCCACTCTGAGTGGTCAGGATTTCAGATTGCACGTGTATAACGACTCTCAAATCCTGGATCGCACAGCCTGTGCGATAGGGAAAATCGGGAATTACTTTTGCTGCTATGACTGACAGGCGAGATGTCCTGTGAACGCAGCGGCGGTGGAGGGGGGGTTGGTCATCAGCATGGTCTGCTTGATGGTGATCATCTTGGCCAAGCCACTCACATGAAGTTGTCGAGTAATGGAGGTGGTGTCAATGGCTCCTTGATGCGGCAGTTGGACCTGCTGTGTCAAACACAGCAGCAGAGTCAACCTATGATCTATGAGATTGTAGTTAGGCGATCCGGACAAGTTGGGCAGATTTCTTGGTTGTATCCTGCCTACGATTTTTCAGATCGCAGCTAGAGCAGTCTATCTACGATTCCAGATCGTAGTCAGGATATGACCAAAATGCAGGCCACAATCAATTGGATCCAATACAAGCTTGATCGCAGAATCAAACGCTATCTACGCTACTAGAAATGACGCTGACTAGGTAGCATAGCATGGCAGTAAAACCTGCGCCGGCAAGGAGGCACTCACAGCGATGGCAGGCCAGGGTCAGCGTCGATTTGGTGGCGGCGGCTGCTGGTGAGACGGGGAGAACAAAGGAGCATTGTTAGAATTGTGCCAGCCGCAGCGTGCCAGGTGCAGCGTGCCAGGCGCAGCGTTGTTGATGCGCTAGATGTGACAGAATCAAAGGGTACAAATCATCTGCTGACATCTTGGTGATCCGCAAAGCGTGTGGCGCGTGTCATGTATGCTGCAGAGAGGCGACGAGGTGGCAGAGGACTGGCGTCAGTGCAATGCCCAAGACTGGCAGATAGCGACCGCGTGCGGACAACTTCGTGATTCACGCTAGCAAGAGAGGGTCTGCATTGTGTGGGCAGTGGCAGTGGCGGCAAGTCGGCATTGGTGGTGGCAGCAAGTCGGCATCGGTGGTGGTGGCAAGTCGGCGTTGGCGGTGGCAGCAAGTTGGCGTTGATGGTGGCGTCCATTGGGCATTGACTGTGGCGGCAAGTTGGCGTCGGTGGTGGCGTTAGCGCGGAGCACACGCATGGTGTCGGTGACGTTGATGCAGGCCTGGTGGCGTGGCCTGGCCTCCACATTTTTTTATTGGCGCGCGCGCAAGCTTAGTCAGCTGTACACGCCTGCTAGCCGGCCCCCGCGCCTGCCAGCCAGCTTGCCCGCCCGAGCTAGCCAGCTGGCCAGCTTGCCCACCTGCCCACCTGCCAGCCAGCCAGCTTGACTGCTTGCTGCGGAGCGGAAGCGGAGGGGAGCAGC